CGCCATGGTCACGGCTCTGCGCAAGCTGCACGCGGGCAAGGTGCGCGAAGACGGCCGCGTGGAGATCCCACACCTCGACGGCCACGCCAGCCCGGGCACCGACGGCCAGGAGCGCGTCTCGGAAATCATCAGCTTTGCGGAGACAGGTGGGTCCGGCCTTTTCTTGGCGGTCGGGGCGACTTCCCTTCTCTCCCTCCCTTTCCCCATCCTTGTCTTTGCTAGCTCCGGCCCCCGGCCGCCACCTCCGCAGCATCCCGCGCGCCCCAGGGATAACCTGGACTCCAGGCCGAGCTTTTCGGCGGCGTGGCGCTGTGCGCTCCGCCTAGGTTGCAGTCCATTTTCCTCAGGCCACAGACCCCCTCCCTGCTCCCCGACCTCCGCCGCCACCGCCGCCGCGGAGAGCCCTGCCCTCCACCCCTGTTCTCGGGGAATTGGGCCCCAGTGCCTCTGGGCGCACGTCCCCCTCCTGGCAGATGCGCGCGGCCCTGGCTCTGCGGGCACTTGCTTGGTGATTGCTTAATGTTTTTGTTTCCCACGATTGGAGTGTAGGCTTAGCAATGTGGATGAAGATGTGTGTGCTTGTTGATATACGTGGGCTGGTGGAGTGTGTGTGTGTGTGTGTGTGTGTGTGTGTTTGTGTGTGTGTGTGTGTGTGTGTGTGTGTGTGTGTGTGTGCGCGCGCGTGCGCGTGTGTGTGTGTGTGTGTGTGTGTGTGTGTGTGTGTGTGTGTGTGTGCCTGCGTGAGAGGCCCTCGGGCTGCTTCCATTGCCGGGCGGCGTGGGCTTGCCAGGATTGCTGAAGCCTCTCCGGGGAGAGCTAGGCAACCTCTCTTCCGATTGTGTGGGCACCAGAATCGGGCAGAAGGAAAGCAGGCTTCTCAACAGGTCTATCGTTTAAGCAGAGATAGACACTGACTCGGGGGACATCCCCGTGGCTTTCCTTTTGCCTGGCAGCCGTGACAGTCTTCTGGTCAGAGAGCCGCAGAGTTGGTAGTTAACAAAGGGTAGGGCTCTTCTGGAATTTTCCCCTGGCCCCGGATTGCAACTCCCTACCACTGCCAAAATGTAAAAATCAGAAAGAGAAAAATCTTTGAGAAGTTTAAAACAAGGAGGAAAATGTGTCCGCGCTGAAATGCTGCAAGTGCTTTTGACTCCGCTGTCCTTTTCAGGACTTGAATGAGCCAGGCTGGCTTTTGTGCCTGGAAGGGGACCGCAGAGAAGGTCGTTGGAGAGGGGACTCCCTGGTGCAGTGGAGGGGGGCTGGCAGGGAGTCTGAGAGAGGAGGGGGATTGGTTGTGCCCCTGGCTGCAAATCCCCCCTCTCCAGGCAGCAGGAAGACAGTTCTGGTGGCTCCTGGGGATGAAAAGGGATGAAAAGTTTTGCATGGCCGGGTGTGGAGAAAAGCAGAGACAATCAGGGTTAGTTTGTGCTTAGAAAGAAATGCATTGCCATTCTAGCTGTCTGCCGGAGTCAGGGAACGCTCAACATGCAATTAGAGGGCTTGGATTAAAAGGTGCTTTCGGGCCCAGGGTAGAGATGTGATTCGGGAAGGTCGAAGAGGCCTTTTGGTCCTGGTGGCACAAAATGACAGCGGGGGCTGTTATATTTCTGGTCCATTTCACGGAGCCAGCTCTTTGACTTATAAATAACGGATTCAGGTCACAGGCAGCTTGTCCAAGACCAGCTTTTAAGGCTGCAGTTTCCCCCATTTTGAAGTCAGATGTCAGTGTTATTAGAGGAGCCAGGCAAAGCCTGAGGAGGGGCTAGGGGTGCCATAGTGGAAGATTTGCTAAAACCAGCCATGTCCATAGTTATTTTATTTCTGGAAAAAAGAAAAAAAAAAGTAGAGATTGTCAGAGGAAAGGGTCACGGAAATGTAGGGTGGGCTACCCCTTCTTCCTTGGAGATTTTGAATGTGCCGTGAACAGGGAGCCAGGGTCTTGTCACAGAATTGGACCTCAAGTTTTAAGAGTGAATGCCCTGTACCTTGGAACTCCTCAGAAACAAGGGCTGCACTTTGCTGCCTGCAAAGCTCACGTTCCTATGTCAGAAATCTGAGCAGAGCTTGCTTGTTTGCAGTAGAGGTTCCACTGGGGGTTGGATCAGATCATGCTTAGGTAAACACTGGAAAGAGGTGGTAGGTGGCTCAGCTTGATTTTGCAATGCCCTTAATTCACACACACACACACACCTACTTAAAACAACCCACCCCCAAATCTTCTCTGCCATCCTGGTTTTGTTTTCCAGATTTCATAGATACCCATATCAACTTGTTAAGGTCTTGGTCTCCTGACAAGTTCCTCTGTTGAACTTTGAGGCCCAACAGTCAGTCTCTAGGAGCCCTGGCAGAGAAGAAGTGAGGCAGGGTTTTAGAGGCCCAGGCCCTGAAGTTCCGATCTGCTCTGGGTTTCACAATGGGAAATGATGTTCTCTGCCTCTCCCAGGTTATAGGCAGAGGTCCGGGCCCCAGGAATGGTATTTCTGGTCGGTAACATCTTCTAGCTGGGTGGTGAGTGTGTTTTCAGCGCCAGGCAGCGAAGTGCATTTCCCTGTTGCCTCATGTTCTCCTGAAGTTAACTCGGCCTGTTCTCCCACTTCTCTGCAGACGGCTTGGCCTCCTCTCGGGTCCGCCTGTACTTCTTCATCTCTAATGAAGGCAACCAGAACCTGTTTGTGGTACAGGCCAGCCTGTGGCTTTACCTGAAACTCCTGCCCTATGTGCTGGAGAAGGGCAGCCGGCGGAAGGTTCGAGTCAAAATATACTTTCAGGAGCAGGGCCACGGCGACAGGTGGAATGTGGTGGAGAAGAAGGTGGACCTCAAGCGCAGTGGCTGGCACACCTTCCCACTCACAGAGGCCATTCAGGCCCTGTTTGAGCGAGGCGAGCGGAGGCTCAACCTGGACGTGCAGTGTGACAGCTGCCAGGAACTAGCTGTGGTGCCAGTGTTTGTGGACCCAGGCGAGGAGTCACACCGGCCCTTTGTGGTGGTGCAGGCCCGGCTGGGGGACAGCAGGCACCGCATTCGTAAGCGGGGTCTGGAGTGCGATGGCCGGACCAACCTCTGTTGCAGGCAACAGTTCTTCATCGACTTCCGGCTCATTGGCTGGAACGACTGGATCATTGCACCCACTGGCTACTATGGGAACTACTGTGAGGGCAGCTGCCCGGCCTACCTTGCAGGGGTCCCAGGCTCTGCCTCCTCCTTCCACACGGCGGTGGTGAACCAGTACCGCATGCGGGGCCTGAACCCTGGCCCTGTGAACTCCTGCTGCATCCCCACCAAGCTGAGCTCCATGTCCATGCTCTACTTCGACGATGAGTACAACATCGTCAAGCGAGATGTGCCCAACATGATTGTGGAGGAGTGTGGCTGTGCCTGACAGTGGCGGGCAGAGACGTGGAAGCGGTGGTGCTCAGGGGACAGAGCCCCTGTGGGGGCAGGAGGTGCACAGTGGGCTGAGCACACTCATTCCATCGGGCTGCAGGGTGTCAGGGTGGGGCCCGAATGCATTTTGTGCTACTTTGTAGAGCAGCCAGTCAAAACCAGAGGGTGAGCCCTCAACCAACATGAGACTTTCAAACGCACACGTAGACACGCACAACCAGACGCATCCTGCCGCCCACACAGCAGCCTCCAGGATACCAGCAAATGGATGCGGAGACAAATGGCAGCTTAGCTACCAATGCTTGTCAGTTGGAAAGATTGGGGTGAGCAGCCACCATTCCCACCAGCTGGCCTGGCCACTCTGAATTGCGCCTTCTGAGCACACATAAAAGCACAAAGACAGAGACACTGAGAAAGGGAGGGAGGGAAGGAGGGAAAGAGAGAGAGAGAGCGAGAGCAAGAGAGAGAGAGAGAGAGAGTCACTGAGAAGAAAAGCAGGGCGGGAGTGTGTGGCCAGGCAGAGGGCTGTGCGCTGTGCATCTGCTTGACCTGTACCAGGCTTGCTTCCTGCCTACCTGGCATTCTCTGTGCTGCAAGACCAGGGGAGCTGTCCTTCAACACCCTTGGAGAGGGGAAATGGTCCAGGAAGGGTACCACCTGTCAGACCATGGTGCGGGGCTCACTGAGAAGAAAAGCAGGGCGGGAGTGTGTGGCCAGGCAGAGGGCTGTGCGCTGTGCATCTGCTTGACCTGTACCAGGCTTGCTTCCTGCCTACCTGGCATTCTCTGTGCTGCAAGACCAGGGGAGCTGTCCTTCAACACCCTTGGAGAGGGGAAATGGTCCAGGAAGGGTACCACCTGTCAGACCATGGTGCGGGGCGATGGCTGACTTGTCAATGAGTCCCTACGCTGTGTGTGTGTGTGTGTGTGTGTGTGTGTGGCCAGGCAGAGGGCTGTGCGCTGTGCATCTGCTTGACCTGTACCAGGCTTGCTTCCTGCCTACCTGGCATTCTCTGTGCTGCAAGACCAGGGGAGCTGTCCTTCAACACCCTTGGAGAGGGGAAGGTCCAGGAATCTCTTCATACTAGCCCACCCTACGCTGTGTGTGTGTGTGTGTGTGTGTGTGTGTGTGTGTGTTTGTGGGGTGGGGAGGGAGGGAGAGGAGAAGGGTCTCAATTTGATGCTTTAACTGATCTCCAGCAGCTGACAGATTATTCTTGCCAGCTGTAGAACTGAAAAGAGACTTAACTATCAGGTATGACCTTTTAAGTGAAAAGCCCAGTTGTTCTAAATGAGAAAAAAAAGTTGCAATCTATGCCCATTGCTGGGTTCATTCCTCTAGGGCTGCTCTCAGAGCTGTGAGAATAACCTCTAGTCCAAGGGCTGAGCCCATAGGAGGCAATGGTGAGGTAAGGGCATTCTGGAAATGCTGGTAGAGTTTTTCCAGCTTGGGGTGAGGAAGGGGAGCTGCTTAGCTGGTCTTTGAGAGCTGGGGAAGGCTTTCAGCTGCACTGCAGAAGTTGCCCATGTGGGGGGCTTTGTTGACGTAGCCCCTGCCTGCTCACCTGCCCGCCTGCCCGCCCCGCATGGCACTTGCAGACCTGCCTGAACGCACGATACAGCACTTGCCGATCTGCGTGTGTCCAGAAGTGGCTGTGGGAAGAGCACTGAACTGGCTTTCCCCATACATGTCCAAGTGCCACGTGAACTATGCAATTAAAAGGGTCGACCCACCCTAGACGAAACTGGACTCGTACAACTCTTTTTATATTTTTATACTTGAAATGAAATCCTTTGCTTCTTTTTTAAGCGAATGATTGCTTTTAATGTTTGCACTGATTTAGTTGCATGATTAGTCAGAAACTGCCATTTGAAAAAAGAAGTTATTTTTATAGCAGCAAAAAAAGAATACAGTTAAATGTATTATACATAATTTTGGAACCAAAGAGGCCAACAGATCAGTTTTAATTTTTATTAGATGGTGAGGCCATCTTCTATGAGGTAAATGTTCAGAACAATCCTTTGGCCTGCCAATGTTTCAGGGTATAAATGGATTTTGTTTATTCAGTTTGATGTGTCTTTTCTATCCTTACACACCCAGAAGGTAGAGTAAAAATGACTATGGTAGAATGCAGGTGTGTATCCTTAAATCCTCATTTTTATGTTTATTTAATAAAGCTCCCCTTAGGTTCTGTTTCATAATAATTTAAAACCAAACAATTTCCCCATAGACTGGCTGTTAAAGTATTTTATGTTTGTGTACAGTTTTAAGAAAATAAAAGGTTGAGTGCCACAGGCTTCCTGCCTCGTGTGATGTCTGGGCCTGGGCTGGAGGTGGGCAGCTGGGAGGAGGGTCAGCCCAGGTGTTCACCTTCAATGCCAGCAGCCCCACAGCTCACCCCCACCTTTCTATGAGTCCTTGCCATGAGACGTGTGTCACTCAGAAGCCAGGAAAGATGGCAGAAGATCAAAATGAAGGACAATTAGCAAATTCATGAATTACACATTTGTTTACCCTTCCAGTCCCAGGGCTAATTATGCTCCACCGAGGCTGCGTCTGTTACCACTTGAAAGTCCCCACCCAGGGAAGGAAATAGCCTGGCGTGTGAAGACCCTGACCTCACTCACCTCCGGGTGCTGATATAAGTGATGGAAACCCAGAAGGAGCTTCCCACCTAGGGATAGGAGGGTGAAAAGAAAGGCTGTGAGTGCAGTGATGATCCTTTCCTGTGGGGGCTTGAGCTGGTGGAAAGTGGTGGTGGTGATAATGACAGCTCAGCTACAGCCTTGAAGTGACAAGAGACCTGTGAGCCCTGTTCTGTGCAGCCCCTGAACCTCAGGGGTTCATTTCCAAAGGTTGGGACCTGACGTCCAGAGAGTCCAGGGGCCATGGCCAACCTCTCTGCTCCCCTAGGAGGACAGCAGTCCTGTGGCCTTCCTTCAGCCACTGCTGAGGCTGTGCGGGCCCAGCGGGGCACTGTCCTGGGTTTGCATCACTTGTGGTCTTCCCAGGAGAATCTCAGGACATTTGGGCTTCTCCAACTCCATTAAGGTAACAGTGGGGAAACAGGGAGGCCAGACAGCTGCAGGGGGTATCTTGATTCCCGCAGCCACCTGGTGGCAGGGGGCGTTCTTCTGGCCTCTGTGTTTTTCCACTCTTTGCCCACCAGGAGAATGTGTGCTCTGCTGGCAGGATGTGTTGATCAGTATAAACTTCACAGGGGCCGGAAAGGAAAATGTCATAATGTCAGGGCCGACCTCGCGGTTTTCTGGGGAGTATGTTGTGACCCACTTGTCTCCCGGCTCTGTGTGCTGGGCCTAGCCGCTAACGGTTCCAAGCCCTCAACCTATCCCCTGCCTCGCTGTATCCTAGGATTTTTTGCAGATGGAAGCCAGGAGGGGCAGGGTGACGACAGGGCCCTCTGCCATTTGGGTATCAAGCACCTGTGGGTATCTCCTAGGGCTGGGCTTCCAGGGTACAAGGGGGGACTCCAGAGTCAGAAGGGTAGGGGCCTGGCAGGCACTATCCCTGAGTGGCTTTCTGCGGCCTCATGCCGGCATGTGTCCCTGTGGGGTCTGGCTGCTCTGGGGTCCCTCGCCCGGGGCCGCACAACCTCCTCACTTCCTGTGGTCACAGCTCCCTTGTTCCTTCTTTCCTCACTCAACACTCTGCCCTGTCTTCCTGTTGCTGTCTCTCCATTCTCTCTCCCATCCCCAGTGGGCCTTTTGGCCCCAGGGTCCGTGTCTCCCTGAAGATTCCTCTTGAACCCACCCTGCCAGGACCTGAGCACAGGCAGCTCTCTCCACCTAGACCTCAGCCGGATTTGAAGGCGTCCCTCTGTCCTGCCCCGCCATCCCCTTTCTTCCCATGGCTTCCAGGTCCTTACCACTCATATTGGGACCCGTGGGGTGGGCAGAGCCCCAGAGTTGCTGTCCTGGTCCCTCTGATGTCTCTCCCCAACCCTCTGAATTGCCTGCAAGACCCCATGTGGGACTCAGTGGCTAACATTCAAAGTTCTCAGGAACTCAATGGAGCCTGAGGCCTGACTTTGGGGATCCTGGGGGAGGGGAGCACTCACACCTTTGCTCTTCTCCACGTCCTGGTAAGGAAGACGGCCGGAATCGAAGGATTCAAGGACTTCCTCAGTTTTTATTATCCGTCCATCCTTCTCAGGTCCTGGCTCAGAAGGGGCACATGGGCTCCCCGTGGGGCAGCACTTAGAAGGGACTCTGATGTGTCAGAGCTGTGCCCCTGATCCCCAAGACATGATGTGACACTGTTGCCATGAAGGGAGAGGGACTCAACAGCTCTGGCGCTGTGGTTGGGCCTTGACCCACGGCCCTCCGCAAAGCACCGTTGCGGGACCATTGCTGGGGATTCCCCAAAGGCTTGAAGGCCATCTTGCCTTTGACCTTGGAGAACCCGCAGTGCCCAGACCTGTGAGGATCCTAAGTTACCAGAGGCAGGGACTGTTTATATGTGTTGCATGGAGGTCACAGGTTGTCACCAAACCATAGTAACTGCTGTGGGCTGAGGAAAGCATGCCTTCGCAGGCCAAGCAGCAGAAACAAAACCCATTTCTGTGAGCAGAGGCCCTGGGAGCTGCCCAGCAATGGTTCTAGGCTTTCAACAGGATGCTTGGAGCCCATGATAGGGCTCCTGTGGGGTTGCAAGTGGGGAGGCAGGGGGCTGAGTGCTGCAAAGGACATGCACGTGCAGTCATATGTGCTCCGCAGTGCGTGTGTGTGTGGGGGGAGTGGGGGTGGGGGGAGTAGGGCACAGGGGCGTGGACAGGGAATTGTGGGTAAGGTGGAGTGATGTGCTGTTTGGAGATGGTAGGTGTGACTGTGTGTGCTGAGCATGTAGGGCTTGAGGCTGTGACTGTGGGCGTGTGCAGTTGGCTGTGTGTGTTTGGAGTGCGCGGTTGGCTGTTTCTGAGGTTGTGAGGCTGTGTGGGTGAGTGTGAGACCGTGTGTGGGGCTGGAGACTGCCTGCGTGGGTGTGGTTGCACGCTTGGCTGTGTGCACGTCTTGTCATTTTCACTTCCTCCTCTTCAGGTGGTGTGCACCTGGCCACTTGTGCTTTTTGCCACTGGAGTAGTTTTAAAAATTGGGGCAATCGCAGAGAATTCCCTTTGCAGTTGGAATTCATGATCCCCTTCATGCCCAAAAGGTGCTGGGAAGGCTGGGCTGGTGG